TTCCATTATGTTAAACAATTAAAAAGTGGGATTGGGGGGGGGGAGGTTGGAGAGATGGCTCAGAGGTTAAGAACACTGGCTGTTCTTCCCGAGGTCCTGAGTTCAATTCCTAGCAACCACATGGTGGCTCACAACCATCTGTAATGAGATCTGGCGCCCTCTTCTGGCCTGTAGGGATACATGCAAACAGAACACTGTATACATAATAAATAAATAAATCTTAAAAGAAAAAATCCCCACCCCCGCCCCCCAAAGAAAGAAAAGAAAAAAAACTTTTTAAAAATTAAAAATAAAAATAAAAAGTGGGGCAGGAGAGAAGACTTAGTGATTAAGAGCACTGACTTCTCTTGTAGAACTGGGGTTCAATTCCCAGAACACACGTGGTGGCTCACAACCATCCTTAACTCCAGTCCCAGGGGATCCAATGCCAGCTTCTGACTTCTATAGGTACCACATGCACGTAGTACACAAATAAACATGCAGGCAAAACACTTACACATATTAAATTAAATTAATAGAAGAAACACATCTACACATTTCAAAATAAAGCCACACAGTGGTGGTGCACACCTTTAAGCCCAGCACTTTAGAGGCAGAGACAGGCAGATCTCTGAGTTTGAGGCCAACCTAGTACAAAGAGGGAGTTCCAGAACAGCCAAAGCTACACCGAGAAACTCTGTGTTGACAAACAAAACTGAAAAATTAAATAATGAGTAATATGTAAAGCATTTATTACTAAAAGAAAAAATTGGTATTTAGGTAAAAGAGGACTATGCTGGACACACTTAAGTGCCTTCACAAAAGATACTTGGTGGGGAATAAACTTTTTTGAAAATTAACATGTATAAGAAAGACATAAAAAATAGAGAAATTACCAGGTGTGGCAGTGTATATCTGTAATCTCATCATTGAAAGCTAAGGCAGAAGAAGTGTGAGTATGAAGCCAGCCTGGGCTACATAACAAGATCAGGAGAAAGGAGAGAAGGGAGTGGGGAAGGGAGAGGGGAGGGAGAAAACCTTGGAAGAACTCGAACTCCAGCAGACTTAGAATTTTAATAAAAGCATTCACCAAAGTGAAAAGAGTCACAAATATCCATTTATGTTTATATATTACACTAAAATGAAATCATTTAGAAGCATATTATCTCTTGATTTTCTTCTCTGACCAACTTTTTGATTCACTAACACTGAAAGGTTAATAGAGAGATTAAAATATGCATGAATGGTGACTATGTACAGATTCTAAAATTAATTTTGGTCCATGTGACCCAAAAGTTTGACTTTCACTAAAAGTCATACTGTAGCATCTTGTCACTAACATGTGGAAATATTTGAATTTTTAAAAATTTATTATGGGGGAGGCACACACCTGGAGAAGTACAGCCTCAACGTTGTCAAGCTTGGGTGCCCTTACCCACCATCTCACTGTCCCTGTATGAACATTTGATACCTAAAAGTACATTATTATTCTTTTGAAACTACTGGGAATTGGACCTAGGGCCATGCATGAGAGTCAAGCACTCTACCACAGAGCTACATCTCCTAGCTACACTGCTGTGATATTGCTGATCTCAATAAAACATCCTCGAAGGTGACTCTCTGGAGTCCTCACCAAAAGAGGGCACTCCATGACCATTTTAAATAAATCCAAATGCCTGCGCTGCAAGACTCTTATGTCTTCATGTCAACAAGGTAAGGAAACTTCTACTGCATTTTTTATATAGCTTTTTAACTATTACTGGGGAATTATGACTATCATGAGTCCAAATGAGCGTAAGTGACTAACATTTCTCTGAATTACAGCATTTCAAGTTTTTTTGTTTGGTTTGGTTTGGTTTTTTGGTTTTGGTTTTGATTTTTTTGGTTTTTTGGAGATGGGGTTTCTCTCTGTGTACCAACCCTAGCTCTCCTGGAACTTGATTTGTACATCAGGCTGATCTGGAACTCACAGAGATCTGCCTGCCTCTGCCTTCCAAGTACTAAGATTAAAAGTGTGTGCCACCATGCCCAACTACATTTCAAGTTTTGAACATTTACAATGTTCTTTTATGGTTTGCCCTAGAAATTTATTCAGGAGCCTCAGAAATCATCACACTAATTAGTAGATTTTTATGTATAGCTATCCTTTGAATTCCATGTGACATTGTAAATTACTAAAGTACCAAAATACATCTATCCAGACATCATTTGGTAATAATTATTAGGGATCTCCTGCTAGCCAAACCATGAATAAAACAAGTATAGGTTCCTGGCCTCGAAGTACCTATGTTTCACTAAGGGAAACATTTAAAAAAAAAAAAAAGTCCACAAATAGAAAATGAGAGAGGTGAGTGGGAACTATTGGATCAGAACTGTAGTTTTGAGTGAGCTGATCAAAGAAACCCAGAGAAGGTAATGGTTAGGTCAGAACACAAAGGAGGTAAAGTAAGCCAGGAAGAAGAATGAGGAAAGAGCGACCTGACCGGGTACAGAAACAGCAGGAACAAATTCTAATCATAAAGTGGCCTCAGCAGGCGTGAGAACTGGCCCTGAGGTCACCAGAGCTGGAGAGCTGTCCCCGCCTGCCACCAGCTGCAACACTTGGGAGAGCAGGCCCTGAACCTCACTGAGTAACACGATACAGCCAACCTTGTCGGCGGAGGTGTGGGCGAGCCAGCTCAGAAGTTGTAAATGTGGGAGAGCTGTCACCACTACTGTCATGGGTCGATGTGGGAGGGTGAGAGGTGTCCCCCTTTACCCCTTGCTCTTACCTCCTGCAACAGATGAGAGAGCTGACTCTCCTCTTTACCAGTGGCAACACTCGGGAAATGGGCCTGCCCCTCACCTAGGCAGCACAGCAGAGACTAAACAGCCCAGAGACCTAGAGTAAAACCAAACACTACTGGTCTTTAAAAAAAAAAAAAAAAAAAACTAGCTGGGTGATGGTGGCGCATGCCTTTGATCCCAGCACTCAGGAAGCAGAGACAGGCGGATCTCTGTGAGTTTGAGGCCAATCTGGTCTACAGAGTGAGTTTCAAGACAGGCTCCACAGCTACAGAGAAACCCTGTCTCAAAAAACAAACAAACAGAGTATCAATAAATGACGCCTAATGGTATTCTGCTATACCCATAGATGTGTGCCTTATTCAGTCATAATCAGAGAATCTTCCTCCTGCAGCAGATGGGAACAGGAGCAGAGACCCACAGCCAGACATTACACACAGAGTTTAAATGGAAGATCTCCATCAAATCCCTCCCCTCAGAGCTCAGGGAATCCCATGGAAAAGGAGGTAGAAAGAGTGTAAGAGCCAGAGGCGACAGAGGACACCAAGAGAATGTGGCCCTCTGAATCAACTAAGCAAAGTACATAAACACTCACAGAGACTGGAGCAGCAAGCACAGGCCTGCATCGATCTGCACCAGGTCCTTTGCATGTATATTATAGCTTTTAGCTCAATTTTTTTGTTTTGTTTTGTTTTTGAGACAGGGTTTCTCTTTGTAACAGCCCTGGCTGTTCTGGAACTAGCTAGCTTTGTAGACCAAATGGGCCTTGAACTCACAGATCTCTGCCTGCCTCTGCCTCCAGAATGCTGGGATTAAAGGCATACACCACCACAACCCGGCTAGCTCCGTATTTTTATGGGACTTCTAAGAGTGAGAAAGCGTGGGTTTCTGGTTCTTGTGCCTGCTCTTGCGGCTTTTTTTCTTCTGATGGTTTGCCATGTTCAACTCCGACATGATAAGTTTTGCTTCATCTTATTATATTTTATTTTGTCATGCTTTGTTATCCCTTAGAAGCCTGTTCTTTTCTAATGAGAGATGGGAAGGGAGTGAATCTGGATGGGAAAGGAGATGGGGAGGGGCTGGGAGGAGCAAAGGGAGGGGAAACTATAGTCAGGATATATTGAGTGGAAAAAGAATCTGTTTTCGCTGGGCGTTGGTGGTGCACACCTTTAATCCCAGCACTTGGGAGGCAGAGCCAGGAGGATCTCTGTGAGTTCAAGGCCAGCCTGGCCTACAAAGCGACTTCCAGGATAGGCTACAAAGCTACAAAGAGAAACCCTGTCTTAAAAAAAAAAAAAAAAAAAAAGTAAAAAAATGGCCCCACTTATCAGCAGAATGAAAATAACTGATTTATGACCAAATTGGAGCATATGTATCAGGCAGCCTGTGGCATAAGCTCTAAACAGAGATGTCATGGTTAACTAACTTTGTCAACTTGACACTCCTGGGGAAGAGATTCTCTGAACTGAGGAACTGCCTCTGTCAGACTGCCCTGTGTACACATGGGGCATTTTGTCCGTGCTAACTGATGTAGGAGGGCCTCGTCCACTGTGAGGGATGCTGTCCCTAGGCAGATGGGCCTGGGCTATACAAGAAATGTAGCTAAAGGTGAGCCTGGAAGCAAGCCAGCAAGCAGTGTTCCTCTGTGCTCTCTGCTTGGGTCGCAGCCTCCTGGTTTCTGTCTTGAGTTCCTGCCTTGGCTTCCTTTCATTTGGACTGGAACCTGTCAGAAGATTAACTCTTTCCTTCCCTGATTTGCTTTGTGGCCGTGGCATTTATCATGGCCACTAAAACTGGAACAAGCACTACAGATATGGGAAATGTAATACTCCTTTTTTCTAGAGGCTCAGCCTGCTATCACTCTGGTACTTACTCTCCCTGGAACTGGTTAGATGGCCAGAGGACCCGAGAGATCTGGGTACAATGTATGGCCTCAGAGTGAGAGCCATGGATGCCTTCACCCATTTCCCCAAACAGACTCAGGGCTAGGACTGACTTCACAGAGATATTCAGTGCACACGCACACTGCTTAGGTTAGAGCCTGAAGCTGTCAAAGAGAAGATAAGAAATTACTGGGTCCAATGAGAGCGCAAGAGAGTGAATATGTTCAAAATGTACATGTATGAAAATGTCATAATTTTAGCATGTATAACTAATATATGCTACTAAAATATAAAATGAAAAGTTTCAAAAGTTTTAAAATATAAAAAAGAAATGGGGGGGGGGGGGGGGGGGGAAGATGGCGGACGGGAAGGCGGGAGAGGAGAAGCCAGAGAAGCCGCAGCGAGCCGGAGCCGCCGGAGTGGAAGAGACTGTTGGGTCAGTAGGTGACAGCTGCAGAGATGTCTGCCTTGTAAAGATGCTTTGTGAGGTTGCTGCTCCCATCCATCTGCTCAGTAAAAAGAGCTCATCTTGGTAAGTTGTTTCGACTTCACCAGGACCTGAAGAAGCAGCAGAAAAACCTGTGAAAACTAAGACTGTTTCTTCCAGTAATGGAGGGGAAAGTTCCAGTCGCAGCGCTGAAAAGCGATCAGCTGACGAAGAAGCTGCAGACCTCCCAACAAAGCCTACAAAGATCTCCAAGTTTGGATTTGCCATAGGTAGTCAGACGGCAAAGAAAGCATCGGCCACACCCATCAAACTTGGATCAAATAAGCCTAAGGAAACGGTTCCAACTCTTGCTCCAAAAACCCTTTCAGTAGCAGCAGCTTTCAATGAAGATGAAGATAGTGAACCAGAAGAAATGCCTCCAGAAGCAAAGATGAGGATGAAGAATATCGGAAGGGACACACCAACATCGGCTGGACCAAACTCCTTTAATAAAGGAAAGCATGGCTTTTCCGATGATCAGAAGCTGTGGGAGCGAAATATAAAATCTCATCTTGGAAATGTACATGACCAAGACAATTAAATGAAGTGTTTTGAGATTGGGGTGTGGGTGGGTGCAGTTAGAAGGAACAGTCTCCTTTTGTAAAGAATGGTGTAAGACTAGCTTTGGAGTCAGTTTTTCTTTTCTTTTCTTTTTTTTTTTCTTTTTCTTTTTTTTAAGATTAAGTGGTACACTAATAAATGAGAGTTTGAAATTTAAAAAAATAAAAATAAAAATAAAAAAGAAATGGGTCCAGTCTGAGCACTGGTAATAAATGGTTCAGACTAGGCAATGTGGGCCACACTGCCTAGAGCAGAACATCCAGCCCTTTGAACCCATTCATTCTCTGTTTATGCCTCACATTAGCCAGCCTGAACTGGTTGATTTATTTCAACTACAGCTCCATCTTCTGAGTGGAAAGCATGTGTCTTACCTTTGGCATCACCAGAGAATGGCAAATGTGGGCTACCTCCTGTTGTGTGACAAGACTTTTCCAGAGGGGACACATGTCTATTCACCCCAGATGGAGAGCATGACAGACAAAAGTATAGATACCACCTAAGTCCAACTTGGTGAACCAATGAGTTTTATTGGGGTTATATACAAGAATATGAGTGAGAGTTTACTTACAGGAGCATAAAAGATCACCCTGAATGGTGACAGTTTGCAAAAGCTAGGAACGTGGAGCACACTGTACAATCTGCAGGCAACTTAACAGGTTCCAGAGTGAGTTAACAGGTTCCCTTCCAAGTGACTCAGTTGATATAAACCTCTTCCAGGCAGCTCTGTGTGTTTCTGCTTCTTACAGGCTGCTGGTCTACTCTCAATCTTCTTTCAGCTTGGCTTGCCTGAGAGGACTCTCAGTAGTCTCTATTGTTTACTCTTGGGAGGGAGGGGCCTAGTGAATGTGGTTGGTTTCAGGGACTTCCTGAAGCTATTTTGAGTTATTTACAACTTTTGTTTGTCTTGAAGAGTTTGACTTTGATGGAATGTTTCAATCCATGGAGAACTGCTACACAACACTTACTTCCCTACTACAACTTTCTCCTGCTGCATCTGGTTAAGAATCTCAAAAAAAAAATCTTTCTACAGATGGGAAAGGCGCTACACAAACAGGATGAAGAGGGAAATCATCAGCCTTGCATGAGTACAATAAGGCTGATGAAGAAAAACCCAGTAACTCCAGTCCTTCCTCCTACTCAGTCTCTCAAGCAGCATCCTTCTGGACATGGTGAAGACCTTTGGAACAAGCTAGGGCTCTAAAAGTCCGATCCTAACACCATGGAACTTGGAAGTCTCGGTCTTCTCTAGCAGGCACCATCTCTGTTATGTCCTCAGAAGAAGCTAAAGGCTCACTAATATCTGTGGAACCTTTAGAGACGACATCTTAGCAGGACAGACATTTGCAGTATGTCATATTGTGCTTAAGTTTTCATTTGTAGACGCTTTAATCCACCTGTAATGTGAGAGGTAAGGCCAAGATGAAGCATGACTTCAGAATTGACAGGTATTTTCTCTTCATTTAACTTTTCATTCTGTTCTGTTCTGGTTTTGGTGTGGTGTGATGTGGTTTGGTTTGGTCTGGTTTTGAGGCAGGGCTCTCTGTGTAGCCCTGGAGAGTTCCTGACAGTCCTGGAACTCTATGTAAACCAGGCTGGTCTCAAACTCAGAGATCTACCTGCCTCTGCCTCCTGAGTGTTAGGATTAAAGGTGTGCAGCACTACAGCAAGCCACAACATTTATTGAGTTACATATATGCAGAGTAAGAGCTTAGTGTTCAATGAAAGAAAAAAATTGAAAAAGAGGGCTAAAGAGTTGGCTCTGTGGTTAATAGCACCTGTCACTCAGAGGACCTAGATTCAGTTCCCAGCACCAACATGGTGGGTCACAAACATCTGTAACTCCAGTTCTAGGGAATTCAATGCCTTCTTCTGACCTCCTCAACACCGGGCATGCACATGGTACCCATGCATACAAACAAGCAAAAATACTTACATGCATAAAATAAAATAAACCTTTAATTTTTTTTAATTAAAAGGAAAATGTTGCAAAAGACCCAATCAAGCTACTATTTGATCACTAGTATGCAGTTTGGCTTGGATTGTATAGAACACTGGTTTCAGCCAAGGTGGGGCTGTAGCACAGTGCTCCCTTCTGGTAAAGGCCTATTTTCCTCCTCTCATTACTATCCTTCATCCCCATAGACATCAGTTTCAAAATGAAGAGGATCTGGGCTTAGAGGTTTTTAACCTGTTGACCCTAATCATCACTGCATCTGTGTAGCTGAAATTCCTGTGTCCCACCTGACCCATCGTAAGGACAAATCTCTCTACTCGACATTCCTGCAGCCACATGGACCCAAGTAAACACACAGAGGCTAATATTAATTAAAACTGCTTGGTGCTCACTTCGGCAGCACATATACTAAAATTGGAACGATACAGAGAAGATTAGCATGGCCCCTGCGCAAGGATGACACGCAAATTCGTGAAGCGTTCCATATTTTTTGTTCTTCCAGAGGTCCTGAGTTCAGTTCCCAGCACCCACATGGTGGCTCATAACCATCTAATGAGATCTGGCACCCTCTTCTGTATGCATAATAAATAAATAAATAAAAAAACTGCTTGGCCATTAGCTCAGGCTAACTATTGACTAGCTCTTACACTTAAATTAACCCATAATTCTTGTTTATGTTCAGCCACATGGCTTGGTATTTTTTTTTTCAGTTCTGCCTTCACATCTTGCTTCCTCTGTCTCTGGCTGGCAACTCCTGACTTAGCCTTCCTTGTCCAGGAATTCTCCACTCTACTTATCCCACCTATACTATACTTCCTGCCTGGCTACTGGCCAATCGGTGTTTTATTTATCAACCAAATCAGAGCAACACACATTCACAGCACACAGAAAGACAACCCTAGCATATCTGTGTCCCTGCTGTGTCCAGAAATAGATCCAAAAAAGCATCACACACTATCAAAGCATACATTGTGTCTGCTAGAAGAAGCCTTCCAGTAATGTCATGAATAAGCAAAAGTCTAGTTAAAGAGATCTGAGGTAAAGTGGGGTGAAAGGAGATAATAATGTCTATTATATAGATGATGACAGATAAGGAAAGTGACTGGAAAACAAGCCAACAAGACTATATTCAGGAGCTGGAGAGATGGCTCAGAGGTTAAGAGCACTGGCTGCTCTTCCAAAGGTCCTGAGTTTAATTCCCAGAAACCACATGGTGGCTCATAACCATCTATCATGGGATCTGGTGCCCTCTTCTGGCATACAGGCATACATGCAGGCAGAACACTGTATACATAGTAAATAAATCCTAAGGGGGAAAAAAGACTATATTCAGAAGTCCATTCTTCTGATCCCCTTCCCATGTGCATCTTATGGCATCCCATGGCATTCCTTAGACATGCTAGGCTCTATCAGGTTCAGTGTGGCTGGTCTTATGTTGAGGTTTTTGATACATTTGGAGTTGAATTTTGTACAGGGTGATAAATGTGAGCCTATTTGCATTCGGCTGCATTCAACCATCCAGCACTATTTGTTGAAGATACTGTCTTATTGCCAGTATGTATTTCTGGCTTCTTTATCAAAAATCAGGTGCCCATAGGTATGTGGACATATTGCCTGGGTCTTCAGTGAAAGTGGGGAAAAATCTTGAACTCATTACCACAGGAAAAGACTTTCTCAACAGAACACCAATACCATAGGCATCAAGAACAACAGTTAATAAATGGGACCTCATGAAACTGAAAAGCTTCTACAAGGCAGAGGACACCATCATTCAGACAAGGCAGCAGTTTACAGAATGGGTTACTATAGCTAGAGTTTTCCTGCCTTGCCCAGAGTCAGGACAAATCTTTGTCACCCGCCAATCCCACAGCTGCTCAGACCCAACCAAGTAAACACAGACTTATATTGCTTACAAACTGTATGGCCATGGCAGGCTTCTTGCTAACTGTTGTTATATCTTAAATTAATCCATTTCCATAAATCTATACCTTGCCACATGGCTCATGGCTTACTGGCATCTTCACATTCTGCTTGTCCTGACGGCACCTGGCAGTGACTCCTTCTGCCTTCCTGTTCTTTCTTTTCTCCTCTCTTTTAGTCCTGCCTATACTTCCTGCCTAGCCACTGGCCAATCAGTGTTTTATTTATTGACCAATCAGAGCAACACATTTGCCATACAGAACATCCCACAGCAGGTTACCAACTACCATCCAGTAGAGGTCTAATATCTAAAATATTTTACCAAGAACTAAAAAGAAGCTGGAAATCAAGAAAACAAATAACCCAATTAAAAAATGAGGTACAGATATAATCAGATTCTCAATAGAGGAAGCATAAACAGCTGAGAAACACTTAAAGAAATGTTCAACATCCTTAGTCATCAAGGAAATACAATTGGTCAGAATGGCCAAGATCAATAAAACAAATGACAGCTCATGCTGGCAAGGATTTGGAGTAAAGGGAACATTCACTCATTGCTGGTGGGAGTACAAACTTGTACAGCCACTATGTAAATCAGTGTGGTGGTTCTTTAGGAAGCTGGGAATCAATCTACCCCAAGATCCAACTATACCATTCTTGGGCATAGATCCAAAAGATGCTTCATACCACCACAAGGACACTTGCTCAACCATGTTAATTGCAGTTCTATTCATAATAGCCAAAAACTGGAAATAGCATAGATGTTCATCACTGGACAAATGGATAAAGAAAATGTGGTACATTTATACAATGGAATATTATTCAACCATGAAAATGAAATCATGTAATTCACAGTAAATATTTATAATATTTATGAAATGCATAAATAAGTGGATCATCCTGAGTGAGGTAACCCAGACCCAAAAAGACAAATATCTTATATTTTTACTTACATGTGGATATCAGCTGTTAAGTCTTTGATAAGCAAGCTATAATCCGTGTAACCACAGAAGTTATGTATAGAGTAAGGGATTAGAAGGGAGGGAGGGATCTCCATAGGAAGGTGAGATAGAAGAGGTAGTTATGGGGGCTGGAGAGATGGTTCACAGGTTAAGAGCACTGCTTGCTCTTCCAAAGGTCCTGAGTTCAATTCCCAGCAACCACATGGTGGCTCATAACCATCTGTAATGAGATCTGGTGCCCTCTTCTGGCCTGTAGGGAAACATGCAGACAGAACACTGTATACACAATAAATAAATAAATCTTAAAAAATAAAAAGG